TTTTTTTTTTTTTTTAATTAGATGTTGTATTTGGAAATTTAGACAGTAAGGTAATCAAATCCCCATTTTCGTTCACAAAATATCAAATGGTGAATGAAAAGGTCCATAAACCACCAAGGCTGCATGTTGTTTTTACCACATCAGGGGAGTTTTTATAGTCTCAATGCAAAGCAATTTGATCAAATCAAAGTATACGAAAAATACAACAGTGTTTTGTTTCCATATAAATAGCCATTATTGTAAAATTCGACTGATGTGTGTGTGTCTTAAAACACAGCTGATCCAATCAGAATTGAGTATCAAATCAAAACTAGAGTGTTACTTACAGTTCTGGCCTGGGTGCTTATTAGTTAATATATCATTCCAGTCAAGTCGAAATACAGTATCTAGACACTGTGTATATAACTGCACAGGACCCATTGACAACTATTATCCTACATGTTTACATGTCAGAGACTATATCTTCTACTGGGAAAATGCCAGTAAATTTGCCTAAAATATTAAGTTTGAATGAAATTTTGTGTAATTAGTATTTTTATTATGCTCCAAGCATGTTATAAAACCAATAAGGCACTTACGGCTGTGAATATACTCATGCATGTTGGGTTTAACCAGTGCCCGTTACAATGCTGATATTCACGATATTTACCTTATTGCTGAATTATGTAACGGTGTTAAATTGACAATACTATATAAAAAAATCACAATACTCAATTTTATTTTAACCATTTTAAATGCTCATCATCAACTGCTGAGATTAAAAAAAATAAAACTATTGGCTGGACCAGTATTTGAATTACCCAGTCTCAATTTATTCAATTTGAATCCATATTATACAGTAGTCTTGTTAATGTTCAGAGTATCATAGATATTGTGATAATAGAGTTGGATGGCTCGTGCCAATGACTCATTAGTTTATCATTAACACTCTAGTTGTGTGTAAGTGCTGGGTGGGGTTTGGACCTCCCTCTGGGGTCTCATGAGCTATAAAAGAACCATGGTCTGGTGAGAGAGGAGCAGATCAACGCCAACAACCAACGTCAGATCTACACAATCCTTCTGGGCCTGAACATCTACTGCAGAGTAAGTAGCATTCTGCTTCTTTCACTCTTTAAAGCAAAGATATGAAATAGCCTTTAACTGATGACTTTAGCTGAACTTCAACATAACGTCATCAGAATCAGGACCACGGATAGCTCCATAACAAATACATTAAGTGATCTATTGAGGCTATCAATAGACCAAGAGTAGAAAATTTACAGCAAATGTTTAATAGTATATTTGAAAGTTTTGTCGACTTTGGCACTTGCTCTTCAAAGTCCATCTGATTCAAAAGTACATCCTACTTGTATGAATCCAAAAGGTTTTCTGTCTGTGTCGATCAGATGGCGAGTGCACTGAGATCCTGGACCGTGCCGCTGGCTCTTGTGCTGTGTGTCATTGTGTGTCTCAGCAGCCTGGCTGAAGCTTACCCGCCCAAACCAGAACCTCCAGCGGGAGATGTGGGTCCAGAGGACATGGCCAAGTACCACACGGCTCTAAGACACTACATCAACCTCATCACACGACAGAGGTGAGACTAGAATTACCTGTTCATTACCTTTGTGTAATTACATGTGTCAGAGCAGATTGTGGCAGATCAATCAGTATTAGAGGCTAATAGTACTGATTACTTAATAATAACTTTCATTACAAACACATGGCTTCATCTTGAAAGTAAAACATCCACAGATATAGCAGAAAAAATCTAGGTCATGTTTGCATTTCTTCTGTCACTGGCTATCATTTTAACCTTGAAATCAGGATTAGGCATAAAATAATGTATTCAGAATCATTAATAAATGTGAAAATTGGCTAAGATTTGAACAAATAGTCCTAATCTGGCTCAGAGAAAGATAGGAATCATGTCGAAAGCATAAATGCTATGAAATGCACATCATGCAGGCACTATTTTTGGACTTAGCTGGCCAAAATTAGTAAGAAACTAGTATTGGATTTCATTCAGCAAATATAATGGGTAATGTTATTGATCAAACATTAAATATGCAATACTTCAGAAAGTACATTAACTAAATGGAAATGTCATGAAACTTACATTTTTGTTTAATATATTTGGTAACACTATTTGTTAACATTAGTGATCATGAATTATAAATAAGCAGAAATGTACAGCATTTGGTAATGTAGATTAATGCTAAATTCTTAATATGTACATTTGAAGTTATATTATAAATGAACATATGTTAATCTATTATAAATAAACATCAAACACTGAAAAAATAGTATATGTATAAATTAACATTAACCTAGATTAATAATGTTTGTTCATGTCTCATTATTGTAAGCTATTAAAAAGTGTTCCAGTTGCAGTGTTCCAGTCACTAGAAAGAATTTCTGTATAAATTGTTTGTAAAAGCATCTTGCATAAATCATCACTGGGCTGAATGTGACAAAATACGTAAGAATGATTTTACAAACAATTTATACACAAATTTGTTCTGCTTGTGTTTATTGATTGAAGCCTATTCAGATGATTCTTGAAACATGATTCTGTAGGAAATCAGCAGAAAACAGCTAATGGCCAAACAAAGATTTTCAGATGATAATGGAGAGTATGATGCTTATATTAATGGCACCATTTCTAGCGCATCTCTCTCATATTGACGTCATTTACTGAACCACTGTGTTGCAGTTTTTTATATCCCATTTTCCAGTCACTGGGTTATTACTTGAGCCTGTATTAGATTTGTTTAAATATCTCTTACAAAAAGTACTATAGCAGATACAGTTATGATATTAAATGTTAATACCATATTAAACATGATAATGGAGAGTATGATGCTTATATTAATGGCACCATTTCTAGTGCATCTCTCTCATATTGACGTCATTTACTGAACCACTGTGTTGCAGTTTTTTATATCCCATTTTCCAGTCACTGGGTTTTTACTTGAGCCTGTATTAGATTTGTTTAAATATCTCTTACAAAAAGTACTATAGCAGATACAGTTATGATATTAAATGTTAATACCATATTAAAAATAAAATATAAACAAGATATTTTATTTCAGTTAGTGGCCAACAAACATTTCTAATTTTCTTTTAGTTTAAGTTGATTTACTAAAATGACTAAAAATAAAACGGAAGTAAAATTGATTAAATATATGTGTGTATATATATATATATATATAGACATTTAAAAAATGTAAAAAAAAAAAAAAAAAAGGACAAAAACATACAACAATAGTACTAATACTTTAGCTAAATTTATTCTTGGTTTATGCTAAGGTTCTCAAGATTATTATTGTTTATAAGGCTCTATTATTTGTAAAGCTGCTTTGAGGAATGCTGAAAGCACTAAATAAATCAATTGAATTGATTTGAATTTAGTCCCAATGAGCAATGCAAAAAGGTTCCCAGGTGAATAAACTCAATCTATTTTGCAGTTTAAACAAAACCATTTGGTGTGTGTGTGTGTGTGTGTGTGTTAATGGTTTTACCAAATTGTGCGTTGCTATGTTTTTATCTGAACATTCACATCTTGGGCTGAGTTGCCAGATATCCTTCAACGTGTACGTAACCCCTCATTATTGTGCTGTGTGTTAAAATAGATTGTTATGAAGTGGGATTAACATGTCTGGTAACGTCTCTGATGATGCATGCTAGAGATGTACCCTGATATTTTCTGCAACAAGTTAAAAGGCCGCAATTAAATGACGATCATGTGTTATTTTGGTTCTGTTGCTTCTTGATTTCCTTATATTTGTGAATTTATCTACAATTATCTGGAAGATCACTCTCTTTCAGTTAAATCAGGAAGTTGGATTGTAATTCTTTTTGGTGATGTTTGTTCAAGCCAGCATCACTAATACTATTGCTCATATTTAGAGTAATGAACAAACACTAAGCATGTAACTTGTGCTACAGACTTGAATGACGCATCAAATCATGCACAATTCATTCTCATACATCTGCTCATTCTTCAGATATGGGAAGCGATCCACCCCTGAGGACGCTGTGGCTGAACTGCTGTTCGGTGAAGATGAACAGGACGTCAGGCCCCGGTGAGCAGCGAGGGAACATGCTGGAATATCTTTGTTTCTGTAGTTTTGTATCAGTGCATGTTATATTTAATTACAGAGATACAGATACCTGCTCAGTCAGTCACAGTCAGTCCAGAGACATTCAGACAAACCCCTGGTGGAGATATTGAAATGATTGTTTTTGTTTCTGTGCAGTGTGGAAGACTTGTTATGGTGATGTGACTCCTCTCTCCTTCTCTGTGGCTGGTGCAGCGGCTTTCTTCATCCATCCATCTCTATGATAATAAATGAGTTTACTGAACAGCAGAAACCAGCATGAGCCAAACCCTCATTAAAATGAGGCTCCAAAAACACCTCTTGATATGTACATCTCTATCAGCCTATTTCTCTCTCTCATTCTCTTCCTCTCTCTTATGATTTGATTTATGCTTTGTGAAAGACAATTGTAAATAATTTATTATTCACTGACAAAATTGACAATAATAAAAAAAATACTGAGTGCTGAACCCTTGATCCCTCTCTTTATTTTTTACCTATTCTTAAATAAAGACAGATTGTGTCTGAACTAGTACATCGGTATACTACGGTGGCCGAGAAGTGCTAAACAAATCACAATTCTGAAGACAAAATAACAAATTACAAATGCAAATGCAAGTCTAAAAAACAAAATAACAATTCAGAATGCACAATAACAATTCAGAAAACATTATAACAAGTCAGAAAACACAATGACAAATTCGAAAACAAAATAACAAGTCAGAAAACACAACGACAATTCAGAAAAACCGGATGAGGTAGGTATAGTTTGAGACAGTGCCATTGGTTTGGGATTACTCACCGCTGACTGGACGAGACATCTGTCAATCAGCGTATACAGGGAAGAACCAGCCGAAGAACAGCAGAGTCGTGGTAGAAAGTTCGGAGATGGTATTAAAGTAGCTCAGTTTAAATGTATTGTATGAATTGCCTTTACTATGGAATAAAAAATACGGAGTGTATATTTACATTTAGTTAAAAGTGGCTGTAAATCATCAGCTCCAGTG